AGCGCGTCCTTTTAGAATGTCGATGTTCTTCTACCAAAACGAACAAAACCATGTATTCCATTCAGTAATCCAGTTCTCAAGGATATCATGGAATTAATATGTTATAATGGCATATGGAAGAAATTTTTTGTATGTGAAATATACCTAGAATCATAACTTCATCTCACAAATCATTAATTAGTGTCTCACATGGCTTTTCATTGAAATACTATTTTGAAGCTACGATGTTGGGAATCGCTAATGATAAGACATTAAGTTTGGTACTGATTCACAATAATAATAGAATCATTTTATTTACCTTTTTATATCATGATGTAAATGTCAAGTAATTATAGCACTGACATGAAATAAAGTACACTTTCATGCCTCATTGGAAAAATAATAATGCATGGGAAAAGGCATGCAACGAAATATTTTAAATCTGAAAAGCGTATTGTTTTAAAATATATATATTTATTGATTTAATAATAGTTGTAGTGATACAGTACATGATAGACTAACTTCATTGCACACTCTAATTAAATTCACTGATTTCATAATCAATTAAATCAGCATAAATACTTTTGGAATGTATCTGAATCCACAGGTGGTTAGAGTGATATTAGAAAATAATTTGGTCTTTGTCAAGAGAATCTACATTCTTATATCTAGGTCCAAGAGTAAAGTCTAAGTGTATATTTATCAAGAACATACATCACTTTGTTTGGGTGTTTTAAACGTGGACATGTTTTACTTTAACACAATGATAAGGTAACTGGCTTTATGGTGGAATGCCTAATCTTTCCAAAATTATCTTCCGTTCCAGGCCAATCTAGCTGTTTGACCATTCAATGGAATAGTGACGATTTATCACTTATATCTCATGGACGTCGGAATCTTCCACTTAAATGCTTAGTAATCAATCATCTATCTCAGCCACTGCTCGGATGCAGAAAAGGAACGTAGTTGACCTTGAACTAGAAAAACCTTCATATCACTAGTCACTAGTCACTAGTGATAGTGATATCACTGCTTCCGGCGCGCAATTCGATCACTTCCGGTTACTGGATACTGAGACGCTATTCCAAGGTCGAGAGGAGGCATTTAATACCAGGAGTGACTATGCTGAAGGCGTCTCCATCATATGGATTAATCCTAAGAACAGGATATTTTATCCCTCATAGAAATGCATTAATATTCTACAATGATGTGAGAAAGTTTATAAATATCTTAAAGCCCATGTAAGACCGTGATATATTGCCTTCAGCTTCCATGTATATTATGTTTACCAATATCAATAAGATATTTTAAACACTTGTATTTAAAAAGTAGTTGAACTTGAAAATGAATGGAATACGTTCAGAACAGTGGGCTCGGCTCAGAACAGCTTGATGACTTACTGCAACGGTTGACCACCAAAGTGATCAATGCAAATAGCAAATTATTAAGTGGTTACCAAGTCTCCATTCACCTGTGCCAAAAAACCACCATTCTTATTTTCTGCTTTCTGATACCCTTGCAAAGCTCCCAGTAGCTGTACTAGTAAAGTTATAATTGAAGGTGATTGCCGTGTAGGGCCACACCTGGTTGTTACAATGCCCTACATTCCCCTCCCCTCCCACATATCGGGTAATATTCCCTGGAGACACAACCGTATTAACGACCAAGGACCTACAAAGGCTATGATTGTTTGATTGATCAAGGTGGCGTTGAGGCAGGTCTGCTCTTGACCTTTTATTCGGAAGTTTAACATCAGCCTAATGGTTCCTTCAAAGCTGCCTTGTTTGGGTCGATATTGTTTCAGCTACATTGTAATGATGAATCCGATTATAATGAACGAACTGTTCATTCATTCCAAAACAAGAGTTCTCTAAATTTCTTAAGCGTTTCTCCAGTATCAAAATTGGATAGATTTTGGAAAATAATTAACTTAATAATTTGGTTTGATAAAATTACGTTCCTAAATAAGTATTTGCACTGTAACCAAACACCGTTCCACTTCAGTTGTTGAGCATTGGACTCAAGAGACAGAATATTCAGAGCACATCAATCGTTGCAAAACCGAAAGGTTACTTGGATTTCCATTTTACGAGTACATTCTTCATTCATGATTTAATAAATTAATTTATAGTTTCCGTTAACTGGCAAAAAATGTGAAAACCCTCGTAACTTTAAGATTTAAAATTGAGAGGAATCTTCAATACAGAGATATTTCTGGCCTCAGAGACTTGTATCCTACATTGTAATGTGAGCAAGGTTTACGTGCACAACAATTTAAGAAATGGCGAGAACTCTTCTAGAAAGAAACAATTCATGGATAACAAATTATTAATTAAGTTGTTAAAAGTTTGTGGTCTTAGAACATTGGGTTATGTCTGCAATGAGGTTTTTTAGATAAATCTACGAGTACATCTAATCAGATTATTATTGGATTTTTATGTGTCATCGATGGTTTGATATTGTGTATTTCATAGTGTACTAACTAGTAGCACAGTTTTTAAAGGGTTTCTTCTAAAAAAACATGCATTGTTCTGTATCTTGTATACACTCAATTTGGGTATACCAGGTCTGTTTGTTAAGCATGAATTCGACTTTAAATCAGATAAATTACACAGTGATTCAAGTTTAAATCTAAATTACATAAGAAAACGTGTAGCCTACCTTCTTAATATTCTGTGATGCCATAGGTAGAGCAATAAACCTGGTAACCTTGTTAAGTCGGCAGCTGCGTCATGTAGGTTGGTTGACGAATTTTCATCAGTCTCAGACAGATGCAGGTGTCAGTTCAAGGTTGGTGTCGTAGAATTTATTTTTGAAAGTTTAAAAAGTTAAAATAAATCATTTGTTTGAACTGACAAAAGAGAAGAATTTTTTGTGTGAAGGAATTTTATATGAATGAATCATCTCTATCTGTATTGGAGACCTCTTCACTTAAACCGTATGGAAACTCATCTTATAATGTGTTAAATAAAGTTAAAGATTATTTGATTATTGGTCCTAAAGTTAACACTAAAGTGTCCAAGAGCACAACTTCAAGCCTGTGTAATAAGCAATAGTTCTCGTCATATTTCATTATTCTTCAGGCTAACTAATTCACAAAATTAAAATCCAGTATACTAATATTTTTTTGTATCATATACAGACCACTAAGTATTTCTCTATGTATAAGCGAATAGCTGTTGCTAAGGTATTCAACTATTGATATGTTTTTTATTAAGGTTTAATGGGACGAGTATTAATTAATCTGAAAAACCAAAAAATAGAATGACTGATTAATTCGTTTAAATGTTAATATTAAAGTTATTGAAAATATAGGAAAATATTTGTCGTAGTAATGACCCATTGGCAAATCATTTATTAATTGGATTTTTTCCTTCAGCAAAATCAACAGACAAGGTGTACAGGTCAGAATGATTTATACCTGACGTCCTCGACTCTAGCAGACTCTTTTTTGTTCTGATAAAAGAAATGCGTTAGCCTCACAAAGTATTAATGAAAAAGAACCTGTTGTGTGAGAAAAATACTTTCCTATGATACAAGGAATATTTGTTCATAACACAGGGTCAGGTTGAAGTAAACAGTCGGGATCGACGTACTCGTATCCCTACAGACCTGGGTTACGTAAGTTTATCTACAGTAGGTTGTAGACAAAGTTGACCCCCAATGATAACAATACATTGACTGGCCCTCAGCGGAAACGCTGTAATGGTCGTGTCACTGTAGAAATTGTTAACATTTTATTTGATGAGGTATTCATGAGCAATACACTTTATATGTATAATTTACGTATGAACACAGCGTACACTACTGAACGCAATTACTATAGTTCCTTGTAGACAGTGTGAACGTTATCCAAACTTATTTTTATTAATACGAATATTATTTAATTTTACATTCAGGTAATACTGTAATATACGACGTTTAACGTGTAAAAATACTATAATACGCTTCAAAACTAAACTAGAGAAAAAACCTGCTTACTTTCATAACATTTCTGAATGTTTTGAGTTTTGTTACTACAGGCAAAATTGAATTTAAATAATTTAATTGAAGTTTCGCATTTGCAACTGTCTATGAAGTTGACATTGAGTCTAAACCAATAAGTTAACGTCAAGGTTGTGCATATAACGGACTGGTCACAAACCTGTGCGGATACAACAATCCGACGGATATGCGTTAATCCTACATTGCGCATATCCGGCCGACGAGTCGTGAAGCGTGCCACCGTTCAGTAGTTTTACTTTTAAAATATGTTTTGATATCTGTTTTAGTTTAGTTATTTAGGTGATCTCTTTAGTTTCTTGTTTCGGGGAACTTCAAGTACACAACCGTGTTGTAGAACGAATACGATAAGCTTATTACAGTTTTACTTCGAACTAAATGCGTGTGCGTAGACTTTTCTTTGTGATAAGAGTTCGGAAACTATATTTCCGTTGATTTATTTGCTGACAAACTCGTGTGTAAGAATAAACTATAAACGCTAGTTTCATTCTAAAATGTGACTCGAAATATTTACATTTTTTTACAATTTGGTTTAAAAATACTGAATTCTTAAAATTGCGTTTTGGTCAGATCAGACCACAATTTATTGTGCATACAACCTTTGATTGTGAAATAACCATATGTGGCAATTTTAAATACCTATTAACGTTTGGTAGTTGACCTAGGCCACCGACATAGCGCTTATGTCGATTAATTATTTTTGTCGAATCATCAAAATGTTAAATAAGACAAAGTGAGATAATAACCTTTTTATTAGGAATAACATTTTATCTCACTTAATCTATCACAGAAACCACAAATATTGGAAATTATAATTTTAGAATTTTGCGCAATCTACGAGTGTTTCATTTAACCATCGATTTAACTACACCCATTTGAGTAAAAAATTCTCTATAGCTGGCCCATATAGATGGAATGCATGCTTCAGAATGCCAAAACTAATTATACAACCAGAAGTTTTTTTGCATTATTAGTCCTACTCCAGGCACGGCCCAGGTGCTCCTGTGTCCACTGTGGGCTCCGTGACATCAAGGCCATGAGCGGGGGAGTTCCACAGGGGCTCAGTCCCGCGCCGATAGTGTTCCAAGCATGACCACGACCGAGATGGAGGTTCAGGAGTCTGGGGGAACGTTCAGGTCAACTTGCGCCCAGGTAAAATGGAATCAATGTAAATAAGCAACAGTGTGTAGTAAGTGTTAATTTTTAAATGTATAATTCGTAAGTAATTTCAATTTTTGTTTATTTACTTTACGTCATTTTTTCTAGATGAACTATCAAAAGCTTGATCTTAATACTTTCTTACGTCGATCTCATTACCTTATTACCGTATCTTCATATTTTACCCAAAAGGTGTCTGAATTTCAATTCACACAAATTAATACCTGTAAAACAAACTGACACAAATGTCCTGTTACAATTATTAATTGATAGCTCAAAGACAAAAGAAATTGCATATAGGTCCACCACCAATCATGCTTGGAATCGAATCTGTTCTTTGAGCAACATTAATAAAATATAAATTCACTCTTGGAAGATTATAAAATCTAATATTTTTTTTAAATTAAAAAATGATACTATATAATCCATTTTTTATCCTAAAATCCTAGAAATCATGATAGGTAATTAATTTGAAAATAAATTGTTAAATGTGCATCTCTTGGTTAAGTTTGAAGATTAAATCGAAACCATGTGTTTACTATTTTCTTACAATACCACAATATGAGCTTATTAACAAAAAATGAAATATCTTTTGACTTTATAAACTAGATATAAATTGAATTAATTTTAATAAGAGATTTTTACTTTTGCACTTCAACTGAGAGGCTAAAAGTAATTTGTTAATTCCAAAAATGGATTTGATGCATGTTACTCTATAATCTTATTTTTCATTACATTATGTCTTTGTCAACTAACAATAATTCAATGATTATGCCAAATGTAATTCATAATAAAATGAATAATGGTCATGGTAATCATTATAATTATTTATTATTATTCATTGTTACTACTGTATATTTATTCATCTATGCTGACTACTGATCTGTTTCCATAAAAATCAATAAAAATCTTATAAAAACTCAATGTATACTGAATTAAAATATATCAACAGCTGCATGTCAATGAGGGCTACAAAAGAGTGAACATTCGACATTTGCATTGAATGCTTTATCACCCCAAAGCCAGGAACCACAAATTGCGTTGATAATATTTGCATGCTATTACCATGCGTTCAAAGCATCCTTCTTCAATTCGATTTGTGTGTTTTCAAATTTCCCGTTGTTATTTTACCTTGTTATAATCTGCATTCAGTTAGGCCCTTGACAAGCTGTTTTTGTTTTATTGTTCGATTCTATGTCATATAATAAACAAAAATATATAATGTTTTGATCAGCGTTTTACATGTCATAGAATTTGAGGAAAGCATATAAAAAATACGTCTAGTTCATAGTTATTTGTTTTAAGCGTTGTTAAATGTACTTTTTTATTTACTTCCCCTAAATATATAAACAAAACATACAACACACAACATACAACTAAACTACGCCATACAAATTTTCCAAACGGTTCTTTTAAATTAAAGTTTAAGCTAAACCCGTTTAGAAATTCCTTTACCACAATGAAAACTCAAAAACGTTTTAATCTTTGTAGAATGAAATGTGTCATAAAAGAACTATACTAAATGTATTCTGATAAAAACAACCGGTGACTTAACAAGTACAAAACTATGTAATTGTTCAGAGCAATGCCGTATAGATTTGTGGGTAAGTTTAGTGTCAGTTATAGCACTAGGACAGTAGCACCCGCATGTATATATGTGCTCTACGTGGATATAGATCTCTAGTAACACCTCTGCAGCATGTTGCAACATGTAGCATATCACACGCTGTGTTGCAATACACCCCTAGATGTGGAACTTAGCATACCAAGTAGCCTACTTTATTCACCACATTACTTATGCAAGTCTTGCTCTCACAGAAATATTTTTTTCCAAGAATTTAATCAGAATATTTATCATTTTGGTAAGCTCTACTTTGTGAACGTAAAAATTTCAATTGTTCAATAAGGGTTTAAAATAATGATAAAGAATCACTGATATTATTAAAGATAAACTGCATTATGTTTAATATACCCCCGTCACAGCAAACCTCCATACTAAGCAAATTTCCATTTACCCGGCTTGATTTCTACTAAAATATTCCCTATAAATTTTCAGATTTATTTCCTATTTAAAAACATTAATTTTAGTGAGTACTTAAGTTTGCTGCTACGGGGAAGATATTGAGGTGTGTTTTAGCGAATTTCCCTATAGGGAAGTAGCTATTACCGAAGGTCTCATGGTAAGACTTAGGCCCGGGACCGATTTACTTTTTCATTTTAATGTCCCCAGAGGCCAAAAACACCATTCGTTCAAATTTTTATATATGTATATATATATATATATATAGGTATATATATATATATATAGATTTATATATATATATATGTGTCCGTGAACACGATAACTTGAGTAATTTTTATCCGATTTTGATGAAATTTGGTTTGAAGGTGTAAGGCGGGATAAACTTGAATGAGTTCGCGATCCAGCATGATCGGACCATGGGAACAGGGTTTTATGGGGGGTTTTATGGGGTAAAAATTGGTTTTTCTCACTTTTTACCCTCAAAACACAAAATTTCCCAATTTTTCTCTAAACCTTCTTAAAGAGCTTGAAAAAACAAACAATTCAGTATATCAAAGTGTTTTTGTACGGTTATTGGTTACGGAGAAAACTAAAAAAATTGTAAATTTAAAATTCCCATGTTATTCTTATGGAGAATATTGTAAAATGTTGTAGTTTTCTTGTTTATGGATATATTTTGATCAAACTTGGCAAATTTATTTATTTTATAGTAAGCTATCAATATTTTACTAAAAATACACTACTTTATTAGTTTCCTTGTAGCAGCAAACCTAGGTACTCGTTAAACCTAATGTTATTTAAATAGATCAATTGAAAATCAATTCGGCCAAATGGAAATTCGCTTAGACGGCAGGTTTGCTGCGGCGGGGGTATTTTATTGAAATATTAGCTTAGTATGAAATAAACCAAATTGCCAAATGTGATTAAAATATATCCATAAACAAGCAAACTACAACAGTGTATTTATTCTCAAAAAGAATAACATGGGAATTTTAAATTTACAATTTTTTAATTTTCTCCGCAGTCAATGAACATTCAAAAACACTTCAATTTACTTAATTATTTGTTTTTTTAAGCTCTTCAAAATGGTCTAGAGAGAAATTTAGAAATTTAAAGTTTTTTAGGGTCAAAAATGGGAAAAATCTATTTTTACCCCATAAACCCCTGTTCCCATAGTCCGATTATGCTGGTTCGCGAACTCGTTCGAATAAACGTAGGTTTACACGTTTGTACCAAATTTCATCAAAATTGGATCATTTTTGCTCGAGTTATCGCGCTAACGGACACATATATAAATAAATATATAGATATATATATTATTTTCTTGCATGTTTAGGGCTACTAATATAATAAAAATCAAATACCCCCGCCGCAGCAAACCTGCAGACTAAGCGAATTTCCATTAACCTGATTGGATTTACACTAAAATGCCTCCATAAAAATAGCACATTTATTTCCTATTTAGATAGAATTAGTTTAACGAGTACTTAGGTTTGCTGCAATAGGGAGCGTAAAAAAGTTTTTTTTTTATAAAATGATAATAGTTTAGTAAGAAATAAAAGTATTTTCCAAAATCGATCAAAATATGTTCATAAACAAGCAAACTACAACAGTTGACTTATTCTCCATAAGAATAACATGGGAATTTTAAAATTACAATTTTTTAGAATTTTCTCCGTAACAATTAGGCGCATAATAACGCTTCAACATACTAAATTATTTGTTTTTTTGAGCTCTACAAAATGGTTTAAAAAGAAATTGTGAAATTTTGTGTTTTTAGGGTAAAAAATGGGAAAAACCTATTTTTACCCCATAAAACCCCCCATAAACCCCCGTTCCCATAGTCCGATCATGCTGGTTCGCGAACTCATTCAAGTTTATCCCGCCTTACAGCTTCAAACCAAATTTTATCAAAATCGGACAAAAATTACTGAAGTTATCCTGCGGATGGACATATATATATATATAGATGTATAAAAATTTGAACGAATGGTGTTTTTGGCCTCTGGGGACATCAAAATGAAAAAGTAAATCGGTCCCGGGCTTAGGTCTTACCATGAGACCTACGGTAATAGCTACTTCCCTATAGGGAAATTCGCTAAAAACATATTTAACAAAGTACCCTTATATTATATAATATTTTTGTTTGAGATTAGGTTAACACACTTGAAAATGTCCTTAGAGACCAAACATGTTGTGTTTTATTAAATAAAAAAGAATAAAAATACCCCCGCCGCCGCAAACCTGCCGACTAAGCGAATTTTCATTTGTCTGAATTGATTTTCAATTAAATATATTTTAATATCATTAGGTTTAACGAGTACCTAGGTTTGCTGCTACAAGGAAAATAATAAAGTGTGTTTTTTAGTAAAATATTGATAGCTTAGTACAAAATAAATAAATTTTGAAACAATGATTTTTTTTTAAATAGATGAAACAGTCAGAAAGTACAGCAAAGTAGAGGGGTATGACAATAAATAGTACAGGCAGTGGCGTCAAAAGAGGTTGCCGATGTAGGCCTACCTGCTATGTAAGGTTTTACGGTACTCGTCCACAAAGAATATCACAGAAGATTGGATGGTCAACGATTGGATAGTATAGGCTCTACCACAATTTTGTATAGCAATTGAAATAATATAATAAATTATCATCGTATGATTCGTTTGTGAAGTAGGTGACCTTAATTATTGGACTTTTAATGGAGGTGAAGACTCGCAAACTTGTTGGCTGAAGAGCCAACTAGCTAATCTTAGTAATAAGGTGTAGAAAGACACAAGAAACAAGTCTATCCCCTGGCTATTTTAATCACTTGCTCTTCAGTCATCTTTTCCTTAAACTACGCAACCTCGTATTTTGACGTTGTAGTAAATATTTAAACCAAAACAAGAAGCAGTGTCCACATTATACACCCTTCCTACGGTTAGTCCCTCTTTTAGAATAAAATGCCGAATTTCCTATTCTTGGTTATGTC